GGCGGCGAATTCTTGCCGGAATGGCCCGCTCATCGGGCCGCTGCAGTGTGATGGTGGTGTGACTTCTACAAGAGGCAGTGGCCCGCTCCCTGGCGCGCCTCAGCCGAAGGAGTTGACCTTCGACGAGAAGGTCCGGATGCTGCTCGCCGCCGCTGGCGGCCGCGCCCGAACCCGAGTAGACAGCACTCCCCGGGCGGCGAGCGCGGGCGGCAGCACCTCAGCCCGAGTGGAGAGCACTCCTCGGGCGGCGAGCGCGGGCGGCAGCACCTCAGCCCGAGCGGAGAGCACTCCTCGGGCGGCGAGCGCGGGCGGCAGCACCTCAGCCCGAGTGGAGAGCACTCCTCGGGCGGCGGGCGCGGGCGGCAGCACCTCAGCCCGAGTGGAGAGCACTCCTCGGGCGGCGGGCGGGACCAGCGACGCGTCCCCCGCCGGAGGCCGAAGGCCTTCCCGCGCCTGAGCGCGGGGGTGGGGCGCGTCGGCCCGACCGCCGCGCTTCCGCTTCGCGCTCGTCTTATCTCATCGTCGCTGTCTGGCGGGGCGGGCTTTTGGGGTGGGGCTCAAGCTCGGCTGGCGATGGCGCTCGGACACTCAAGCCGTCTGGCACTATCTCAAGGCCAAGTTCGGAGGGTGTAGCGTCCCAGCGCTGAGGATTGCGAGCAAATCCGCCGACCCTGTCGGCGTGTGGAAGACGCTATTCTGCTTGCCTCGACGTCGTCGTCGTCGCCGTCGTCGCGTTTGACCCTCCTTTCCCTGGGCTCGTCGCCACTCCCCCCCTTCCACTCTCTTCGGACCCTGCTTGGAGGAGTCCCGCATGACTGCATTGAGTTTGACAGACGAGCAGCTACCTTGGACTACCCCAGGCTGGTCTACCCACCCGACCCGCTCATGAAAATTCCTACGCTCACTCTACCGAAAACCCGCCTCCCACCTGCCCAGCCCGCTCTTTCGGGTCCGCCTGCTATGATTCGCCCAATAGGAGCGCCCTCCCGACCCGCCCGTCAACATCAGCTCGCCGCACACGCTCAGCAAATTCTGCCGCGGGACCCGCCCGTCGCCCGTCAAGGTCCGCCCGTTCGCTTGCTAGAAAAACCGCCCGCCCGCTTGAATGCTGCGTCCGCTCGACCCGCCGTGTAGTGTCTGACAGCCCCAACCGTCTGTCAGGATCCGCCCGCCCGATCCGCCCGTCCAATCCATGATCCTGCCATGCTCCGTGAGCCAACTGCCCTCCATCCTCTGATTCTCTCATCCCGCCTCCTCCTCCTCCACCACTTTCATCCTCTCTGGTTCCTTCACTCCTCACTCCTCACCCGTTTCTCCTTCCTCCTCCTCGTCTTCGTGTCGATTCGCACCTTCTCCCTCCCCCCCTGCCCTGCCCCTCCTCCTCCTTCTCCTCCTCCCTCTCCTCCTCCTCCCCCTCACCCATGACCGACTCACTCAATCATTCCTTCCTCCTCCCCGTCCTCGCCCTCTTAATCCTCCTCTCCTTTTTCCCCCACTCGTTGTCATCGTCATCATCGTCGTCATCGTCATCGTCATCATCATCATCATCATCATCATCACCATCACGACCGCCACCACCACCATCATCATCATCCTCATCATCATCATCATCATCGTCATCATCATCATCACTATCATCATCATCAGCACCATCACCATCACCATCATCACCATCATCACCATCATCATCATCGTCGTCATTCGTCATCATCATCGTCATCGTCGTCATCATCATCTTCGTCGTCGTCATCATCATTGTCATCCTCCTCCTCATCATAATCACCAGCAGCACCACCAGCGTCATTATCATCCCCACCACCATCATCACCATCACCATCACCATCACCATCACCATCATCATCATCATCATCATCATCATCATCATCATCATCGTCATCGTCATGCTCATCATCGTAACCATCGTCAGCATCATCACCGTCGTCACCATCATGCTCCTCCTCCTCCTCCTTATCATCTTTACCATTGTTACCATTGGCGTCATCACCAGCATCCGCATCATCATCGCAACCTTCTTCACCCTCACCACGACCACCACCATTACCACCCTCATACTCATCATCATTACCACCATCATCACCACCATCACCACCACCACCATCATCATCATCATCACCATCATCATCATCATCATCATCATCATGCTCATCATCATAATCATCATCAGCATCATCATCGTTGTCATCATCATCCTCCTCCTCCTCATCATCATCTTTATCATTGTTACCATTGATGTCATCACCGTCATCAGCATCATCATCATCATGGCAATCTTATTCACCCTCACAACCACCACCATCACCATCCTCATACTCATCATCATCATCAGCAGCATCATCAACATCAACATCACCATCACCATCACCATCACCATCACCATCACCATCACCATCACCATCACCATCACCATCATCATCATCACCACCACCACCACCATCATCGTCATCGTCATCATCATCATCATCATCATCATCATCACCACCACCACCACCACCACCACCACCACCACCACCACCCCACCACCACCACCACCACCACCACCACCACCACCACCACCACCACCACCACCACCACCACCACCACCACCACCACACACCACCACCACCACCAACCACCACCACCACTACCACCACACATCACCACATCATCATCATCATCATCATCATCATCATCATACATCATCATCATCATCATCATCATCATCATCATCATCATCATCATCATCATCATCCTCATCATCATCATCATCCATCATCATCATCATCATCATCATCATCATCATCATCATCATCATCATCATCATCATCAGAGAGAGAGAAGAGAGAGTAGAGAGAGAGAGAGAGAGAGAGAGAGAGAGCGTGATCCACCGCCGCTTTACTGTGGAAAATTGCCAACCTTTTCCTCCGGAACCCGGGGGTCCCCCCCCCCCCTCCGAAAATCCCCCCCCCCTGCTGGAACCCCTCCCCCCCCCCCACCCCCCCCCGGCAAAACCCCCCCCCTCCCCTAACCCCCCCCCCCTCCCCTCGAAAACCGGGGGGGGTCACTACCGGTTCGAACCCCTCCCCCCCCCCCCCCTCCGGATCTGGAAAACCGGGGGGGGTCACTACCGGTTCGACCCCCCCCCCCCCTCGAAAACCCGAGGGAGGTCACTACCGGTTCGACCCCCCCCTCCCCACACGCACCGCCAGCAAACGACTCCCGGTCCCTACCACCGTCCGCATCACATCCCCCACTGTTGTTCCCAGCACCACTGTCCTCACCACCACTGTCCCCACTGGTTCCACCACCGTCCCTACTGTCCCCACCAGTGCCCCCACCACTGTCGCACTGTCCCCACCCACCACTGTTCCCACCACGGTTCCACTCTCCCCACTGTCTCCACGGACCCAACCACTGCCCGACTATCCCCACTGTCCCCACTGTCCCACTGACTCCTCCGCTGTCCCACTGAGCTGTCCCACTGTTCCCACCACTGTCCCCACTGTCCCCACCACTGTCCCCACTGTACCTCTGTCCCATTGTCCCACCGCCGTCCTCGCCACCGCCTTCACCACTGTCCCCACCACCATTGTACCCTCCACTGTCCCACTGTTTCCACCTCATTCCCACTGTCCCCACACCACTGTCCCCACCACCACCGTCCCCACCACTGTCCACTGTCCCCCCGTTCCCACCATTGTCCCCACCACTGTCCCCACCACTACCGTCCCCACCACTGTCCCACTGTCCCACTGTCCCCACCACTGTCCCGCTGTCCCCTCACCACTGTCCCCACCAACACCGTCCCCACCACTGTCCGCACCCCCACTCGGTTTTCGAGGGGGGGAGGTTCGAACCGGTAGTGACCCCCCCCCGGTTTTCGAGGGGGGGGGGGGTTCGAACCGGTAGTGACCCCCCCCCCTTTTCATGATGAACTGGGGGGGGGGGAGGGGTTCGAACCGGTAGTGACCCCCCCCACGGTTTTCCGGGTGGGGGGGGGGGGAGGGGTTCGAGCCAGTAGTGACCCCCCCCGGTTTTCCGCCAGCAGCGGTAGGGCGCGCTCTTTCTCATCATCAACAACATCCTCATCCTCATCCTCAATCGCACCATCCTTCGCATCCTTCATCGCTTCTGCTTCCGCCTCCTTCGTCTGTTCCCCCTCTCTTCCTGCCCCTCCCCTCCCTCATCCGTCCCTTCTGCCTCCTTCTCCTCCTCCTCCTATTCCTCCTCCTTCCTGTCTGCTCCTCCTCCTCCTCCCGTCCTCGTCCCCCCCTCCGACCAACTCCTCTATCTCCATCACCTCCCCCTTCTTGCCTCCTCCTCCTCCTCCTCCTCCTCCTCCCTCTCCTCCTCCCTCTCCTCCTCCTTCCCCCCCTCCTCCCCCTCCTTCTCCTCCTCGTCCTCCTCCCTTCCCCCTCCTCCTCCTCAACTCCTCCTCTTATTTTCTTCTTCTTCTTCTTCTTCTTTTCTGACGACGACGATACCGAGCCAAACCGCGACCGGCGCTAGGGAGGCCTGCCCCGTCTGGGGCGCGCGCAAAGCCGCTTGAACATCGACCTGCACTTGCGCAGCGACAGCTGCAACCTGCGGGGCGGCCGGGCGGAGAAAGGGAGGATGAGGCGACGGAGGAGGACGGGGTGCCGACCCGGATCCGCCTGGCCATCATCCTCACAGCCTGGCGCTTCAAGAAACCTTGGGCACCTCCTGCTCCTGCTGAGCGCGTGCGGCGCTGCCCCGACACGCCACGCGCCAACGCACACTGCTTCAGCCCCCCCCAGCTCCCGCCGATCCCGAGCTGCCGGCCCGCCTTTTTCCTGTGAGGCTGCGCGGGGCCGCGATGGGTATGGAATCCGTGACATCACCCGCGCGCGGCCGCCGCTCCGCTTCGAGAGCGAGGCCCGCGCGCCCGAGCACCGTCGTGCAGCGCCGCCGCGCGGCGCGCCCCGAGCGCGTCGAACTGCGCCAGCGCGCGCCGGAGCGCGCGCGGCACCGCCGCCCGGGGTCTACTCGGCCATGAGCGGCTGGTCGCGCACCTGGCGGCGCCGGGTGTAGTGGCACAGCGCCAGCCCCAGCGCGCAGGTGCCGAGGAGGCACGCGGCCTCCAGCGCCGTGTGGCCCTGCCCCTGCTGCTCCTCTCGGGCAGGTCGGGGTCATCCACGTCCTCCTCGTCCTCCGCCACCTCCTCCCTCCTCCCCCACCCAATCCCAGCCTTCCTCCTGGTCCTTCTCGTCCGCCTCCTCCATCCCTCTTCCTTATCCGCAGCTGTGCCTTCAGCACGTGGCGGAGCGCCCTGAGGCTCCTGCGGATGTGGGTGCGAGTGACCTCATAGGATTCTTGACGGCTTGGGCCACCCACGTGTCGAAACTCTTGGGCGCTCCAGGGCGCTTCCAGCGTTGCTCACGTAATATTGCGGGAATCCAACCTCGCCCCAACCGACTCCAACAAACCGTCCACAACTACAACATACCGTTTTTTGGACGAGCCAGCTCGGGCGACCAGCGCAGACGCAAGCGCCCGGAGGTGTCGCCTGACGCAGTCGGGCACCTTGGGGAGCTGCGGTGTGCGCCGCGCTGCCAGCGCCGCGAATTCGGACACGCTGCCCCCGGCGCAACGCACGTCGTGCAGCAGGGGCAGGGCCTGCCCCCGCGCCGGCAGCCGCTCCCTCCACTCTGACAACATACCGCCCACCAAGTTGCCTCCACGGAGCCGTCTTGGAGCTTTCCTAAGAGCCACTTGGGCCGTAAAAAGGCCCTGGGGCTGGCTCGAGAGGCCAAAACAGTAATTCCCCAAGCAATGCAGACACTGAGAAGCTCTTGCTTGCGTTGCTCATGTTTTGGCGATGCTGGATTTTGGCACGCTGAAAGCCCATCGCCGCCTCGACACCGCCCCGTGCGCTGGCTCGCGCTTCAATGTGCGCGCGTGTATTCAAACGATGAGCTAGCAAGATATGACGTCCACTACACGAATCGCCGCTCATGGACTGCACCACACAGACTGCATCACGTATATATCAGCACAACTATCGCACCATATGTATATATATACACATGTCTATCTATATTTATATATATATATGTATACAACTATCGAACCATATACATACACATGTCGTTCTACATGCATACAACTGTATATGTATAGATATAGATATATGGACAGGGAACTATTGCATTCCGTAGGTTGTACTGTGTATCTTGCACTCGACAAATTGCACCACATAGCTTGCACGGCACGGGCTGCCTTTCAAGCATTGAACCGCATACGTTGCATTCCGTTTGACTTACACCACCGCGCCGAAGCCGAACTTGATACCCCTCCGAGTATTGGCTTCTCATGTTTGTTCTGCACGGTCGTGCAGCTTAAACCCCACCAGCCCTGTGGACGCAAGTGACTGGACGAGTTCTTCTCTCTTCCAAGACCCTTTTCACTTCGGGGGCAAGGGCCCTTTCCCCCCATAGACCACGACCGAATTGTTTCTATACGATGCTCCGGGAAGTCTTCCAATAGCTCAGGATCACATGCACGCGCCGATTATCGCAATAATCCTTGGCTTCTCATGTGTTCGATTCCTCCAAGGTCTCATCAACCATTAAGATCTCGCTCATTTTCATACTCCTTGTCTTTTCGCCTACTCTAGGTTTAAATTCAACATTGGGTGAACCGCGAAGGCAAATCGCTGAAAGCCGTGGGAACTGCTTGATTGGAAGATGGCCCACTCGACGCTTCTAGTGAATGGTCCACGGCAGCCCAAGGAATCCAGAAACTCGCGGCAATAGAGTCCCAGACCCCCTGTAGCCCAAATAAGCCAAAATGTCTCCAAGGAGGATGCAATAGATTTGGACAAACATTCTCGTCCACGATCCAGGCACGGTGGCGGGATGGGCCGCAAACCGCAAAGGAATCCGCCGCCCCCCGTGGTCTTGCCACAGGGGTGCACGGCGTGCTGTTCTTTTTCTAAAAGAACTCCCCAATGGGCTTCGGCCCGTCCCGCCGGCCACCCGCAAGTTTCCGAAAATCCATCTGTCAATGCCTTTGTTGCCCCAACTTGGCCCAAGATGGCCTCCAAGACGGCCAAGATGGCCCAAGATGGCCTCCAAGATGCTTCCAAGACGGCCAAGATGGCCTCCAAGACGGGTAAGATGGCTCCAAGATGCACCCAAGACGGCCCAAGATGGCCTCAAGATGGTCTAAGACGGCCCAAAAGGCCCGCAAAAGGCCTCCAAGACGGCCCAAGAGCCCTCCAAGACGCCCTCCAGGAAGGCCCGAATAGGTTAAAATCATTGATTTTCCTTAGGTTTTTCAAGGATTTTGGCATGTTCTTCTTTTCAGCTCTCCGACGGCCCAAGACGGCCCAAGAGGTCCCCAACATCGCCCCAACAGCACCCAAGAGGCCTCCAAGATGGCCCCATGACGGCCCAAGAGGCCCCCAAGAAGGCCCCAAGAGGGCCTCAAGACGGCCCAAGAGGCCTCCAAGACGCCCAAGATGGCCTCCAAGACGGCCAAGATGGCCCAAGATGGCCTCCAAGATGCCTCCAAGACGGCCAAGATGGCCTCCAAGACGGGTAAGATGGCTCCAAGATGCACCCAAGACGGTCCAAGATGGCCTCAAGATGGTCTCAGACGGCCCAAAAGGCCGGCAAAAGGCCTCCAAGACGGCCCAAGAGCCCTCCAAGACGCCCTCCAGGAAGGCCCGAATAGGTTAAAATCATTGATTTTCCTAAGGTTTTTGAAGGATTTTGGCATGTTCTTCTTTTCAGCTCTCCGACGGCCCCAGACGGCCCATGAGGTCCCCAACATCGCCCCAACAGCACCCAAGAGGCCTCCAAGATGGCCCCATGACGGCCCAAGAGGCCCCCAAGAAGGCCCCAAGAGGGCCTCAAGACGGCCCAAGAGGCCTCCAAGACGCCCAAGATGGCCTCCAAGACGCCCAAGATGGCCCAAGATGGCCTCCAAGATGCCTCCAAGACGGCCAAGATGGCCTCCAAGACGGGTAAGATGGCTCCAACATGCACCCAAGACGGCCCAAGATGGCCTCAAGATGGTCTAAGACGGCCCAAAAGGCCCGCAAGAGGCCTCCAAGACGGCCCAAGAGCCCTCCAAGAGCTCCTTCAGGAAGGCCCGACGAGGCCAAAATCCTTGATTTTCCTTAGGTTGTTGAAGGATTTTGGCATTTCGCCTTTTCGGCTTTCCGACTGCCCGTGACGCCCCCAGAGGCCGCCAAGGTCGACCCAAGATCGCCCAAGAGGCCTCCAAGATGGCCCCATGACGGCACAAGAGGCCCCCAAGACGGCCCCAAGACGGCGCCAAGACGGCCCAAGAGGCCTCGAAGACGCCCAAGATGGCTTCTAAGACGACCCTGGAGCACCCCAAGAGGGCCCCAAGTCGGCCCAGAAAGGGCCCCGAAACAGCTTCCGACGGCGTCAGACGGGCCAGGAGCCAACGACTAAGATGGCCGAAGATGGCTCGCAGCTGGCCCTAGACGGCCCAAGAGGCCTCCAAGAGGGCCTCCAGGAAGGCCAGAAAAGACCAAAAAGACTGATTTCCTAAGATTTTTGAAGAATTTTGACATTTGCTTCGTTTCGGCCTTCTGACGGCCCGATACGGCCCAAGAGCCCCCAACGATCGCCCAAGGATCGCCCAAGAGGCCTCCAAGGTTACCCCAGAACGGCCCAAGAGGCGCCCAAGAAGGCCCCAAGAGGCCCCCAAGATGGCCCAAGAGCCTCCAAGACGCTCAAGATGGCCTCCAAGACGGCCCACGAGCCCTCCAAGACGTCCTCCAAGAAGGCCCGAAAGAGTCAAAATGGCATCCAGGCGGCCACGATGACCTTCAAGATGCCCACGTGTTCCCCGAAGGCTTTCCAAACCGATTCGGGGAACGCATGGTCCGATAGCTTGGCAGGTCTGGCCTCAACGTTCGGCCACATAGGCACTTCCACAAAAGCAGGGGGCGGCGGTGATTCGCCGTAGGCGTCTTCGATAACCCCCCCTCGTCGCGCTACCAAGACTCACCGTGTCAAAATAAAGAATGTGGCTCTCGCCTATGCGCCGCGCACATTCGTCCTACAACTCCCCCACGACTGCAAAAATGAGGTCGGACCGTTATCAACATGTGGTTATGACCGAGGGTCCCGCGCATTCCTTGAAGGTGGCCGACACGCACATGGAAAGGCGGGCCGTTTTCAAGATGTGGCTATCGCTCTGGCGCTGCGCACACTCTCGCCCGAACGCATTCCAACAATCACAAACCATGGGGGAAACGGCCCATTTTCGAATTTGTGCTGCCGCTTGTGACTTCTGCCATGCGTGCGACCGGAACGTTGTGCGCTAGAAGGGCTGAGGGGACGCACTGTCCAATATACACGACCCGATGCGGGGTCACAGTCCTCCCAGGCAGCCCATTTCAGACTCCACTCCGTCTGGGGGGCTCCCGGGCTCCCTGGACCTCTTTCCAGCCCCCCCCCCCCCTACCAGCCCTCCAAAACAGCTCGAGGCAGAGCTTCGCCAAATCAAACCCTGCCGTCTTTTGTATGACATCCAGAATGGCATCTAAGGACTAATAAAGGAGGGACTTGCGGCGGGAGGGTGCATTACCGCATCGTTGAGGCATCCTGCGCTTACTCTGGCACTCCCCCCGCGTCTCCTGCTCCTCGTCGTCGTCGTTCTGCCCTTGTCCCCGCACAAGGCCTGCTCCCTCACTCTATCCTAATCGCCGCTCGTCCATCTTCTCGTCCTCCCTCTTGCTTCGCAACCGCTGTGGTTCCTGATTCCTGATCATCCTCTTCAACCCTCCCCTTGCCTCTCCTTCTCGAAGTGTTTCCTCCATCTTGCTCCTCTTCAAGTCCACACTCGTGCTCATCCGTTTCCTCCTGCTCTCCCTCATCACCCCCATTGGTATCCCTCCTTCACTTTCCTCCCTTCCCACCTCTGTCCTCCCCACCCCAACCCACTTCCCAATCATCTAATTCTTCGTCTCCCTCCTCCTCCCACACCACCTCCCTCCTAGGACGGACGAAATGGAAACGGAAAGGGAGGAGGAGGAGGAGGAGGAGGAGCGAAGTTGCAGAGGGAAGGAGGAGGGCATGGATGGATTATGTGGACACGAATGGGATAGGAGATGAAGGGCGACCATGAGGATGGATGAGATTGTGGAGAGATGATCGCAAAATAGATGGCAGACGTCGTTTGGAGGTGGAAACGCTCTCGGCTCGGCGTCCATCCTTCTCTTTCTCCTCCTTCTCTTCTTCCTCCTCCTCCTCTTCCTCCTTTTCCTCCTCCTCCTTTTCGGCCCTCTTCGCTCCTCCTCTTTCTCCTCCTCCTCCTCCACGCCTGCCACAGGTCGTTCGCGTGGTCGACCACATCTGCCACAGGGTGTTTTCTCGCACCGATGCGCCATGCGGCCGCCCGCTCGCTCGCTCCTCCCGAGGCACGGGGCTCCTGCGGGAACCCCGTGCCCGACGCGCCCCCCGCGTGGGCCGCCAGGAGGCCGCTGGCGGAGGGCACGCAGCAGAGCTGGCCACAGGGGCCCCGCCAGTAGCCGCAGCCGCTGGCGCAGGGCTCCGGGTACTCCTCGGGCGGCGGCCGGCCCTCGCCGCCGCCGCGACCGTCGTGACGCCGCGGCCCTCGGGGGTGGTCGGCCGTTTCGGGAGGGTCTCGCCGCCACGGCCGGGCGCAGCGCGAGAAGGGGCCAGGATGGATCCCAGGAGGGGCTCAGGGACTGACATCTGTGCGGATTTTGAACCGTCGTCGCCGTCATCGTCGTCGTCGTCGTCGTCGTCGTCGTCGTCGTCGTCGTCGTCGTCGTGGTCGTCGTCGCCCACCTCCTACCCCTGACTGCAGATCGTATTCTGATGCCCCCCGGGCCCGGAGCGGAATCCTGGAGCCCTGGCGCCGACACCAAGGAAAAACGCCTGCGCTGAATCAATCGCGATGTCGTCGGGGGGGGGGGGGAGGATGCGTGAGGTCCGCGACTAGCTTGATGTGTTATGTCTGCGTTCTGGATGGCCCTTAACCTCTTTTACGGGCCTCATCGGCGGGGCAATCTTGCTCGTGATGCTGCGCACTAAGTTGTCCTGCAATTCCATGACTGTTCAGCGCGGCGTGCGCATCTTCTGCTGTCTCAAATGGTGATGGAGGGACGTCTCTGCTTCCCCCCGGTTTTCAACTTGTTTCGCTGTCGCCTATCCAGAAGAACTGGGGAAGAACGGAATCACAGAACGAGACAACGCGCAAAACTTCGAACGCGAAACCCACATTGGACGAAATCGGAATACCGAAGCAAGAATTCGCCGGCCCAGCCACAGGCGTGCCAAGTTTTCTGCTAACCAATTTTGAATATTTCTAGTTCGCGCGCGCGGGGCAAATGCATTCATTATCCAAACGGTTTTTGAACGATTTTCTCGTTGTCACCTTTTCGTGCTTCCGACCCCCCAAGACGATCCAGGAGGCCTCCAATACCGCCGCAAGACAGCCCAAGAGGCTCCCAGGAAGGCCCAATACAACCCAAGAGGCCCCCCCAGTTGGCTCTGGAGGCCCCCAAGAGGGTCCCAAGGGGGGAAACCGACCTGCAATTGGAAGCTTTTCCCCCGAAGATGGCCCCCGAGACCGCCAACACGCCCCCAAGGGGCCCCCAAAGGGCCCCCAAGAGGCCCCCAAGATATTCTCGACAGGCCCCAAGAGGCCCCAAAATGCCGCCACGAGGCCCCCGAGAGGCCTCCCAAGAGAGATCCCAACAAGCCTCCCGACAAGGCCTCTTGTCCACAACCCAGTCTAGCCGAAGGCCACTAACCACCACACACAATCTGGGCCAGCGGAATGAGCGAAGCGATTGCGTAACCAGATGGACAACATTTGGCAACTATACGCGCTGTCGTTTCATATAAGCAACAACGCATGGGAACACACATGGGCCACTATCACAACACATGTGTACCGGCATACTATAGGCTCGGTTCCAGACCTGACAACGGACATAACACAGGGACCGGCAACGGAGAAACATGTGTGTCAAAACGACAAGAGAGACACAGGTGTTGCGTAGATGCCAAGCAACTGGACAAAATAGCAGACATCGGAATCAGTTCAGGACAAGAGGGTACAGAACACGCGTCCAGCATTTCAATTGCACTTAAGTGCAGAAGCAGTAAAGGCAGCAGCGGCGTTGGTTCCTGGAAGTCCTCGGAGGTTCCCAGACGCCGCCAAAGGCCCCGCAAAGGCCGAATACATCCACGCAACTCGATCCGCCTCCTGAGGAAAAGCGAGGGCAGCGGCGGCGGCGTGCACGCGTCCGGAAGTCCCCAGAAGCGTCGGGGGTTTTGCAGAAGCCCCCAGAAAACCAAACGGGGCCGAAAACACTCCCAAACCTCGATCCTCATTTCGAGTTCCTCCTCTTCCTCCTCCCCGTCTCCCTCGAAGGAGGATACAGCACTGGTGCCGCAGCAGCGCTCCTCAAGGGCGCGCTGAACTGGCACAATAAAAAAGCGAGCCCGCCTAGCGGTCCACAAGCTTGAGAGGACGCACGACTGCCCACCCGAGGGTTCGCCGTGGAGGAGGGGTTGGCTGCTCATTCTGGGGACCTTCCTGGAGCCACTCGCTCTGCTCGTGCGTCGAAGCTGCGTCGAACGTCCGTTGATTCGAATCGACCTTGAGCCGAACCTGATTCAAAGCTGAATCGAAATTGAGTCGAACTTAAATCGGAATGGGGTCGAACTAGAGGCGAACAGATCCGTCAGGTGCGCCCCAGGACGGTCCCCCAAACGAACATCTAAGAGGGGGGAGGAGGAGCAGGAGCAGGAGGAGGAGGAGGAGGAGGAGGAGGAGGAGGAGGAGGAGGAGAAGGCAAAGGGGGAGGAGGGAGGAGGAGGAACAGGCGGAGGAGGAAGAGGAGGAGGGGGAGGAGGAGGAGGAGGAGGAGGAGGAGGAGGAGGAGGAGGAGGAGGAGATGGAGGAGATGGAGGAGGAGGAGGAGTGGGATTTTTTGACATCCACTGCCTCAGACCCCAACTAAATGGGGCAAATGGTTTCGCAGTCAGCTCTGGCCCCTTTCCTCTTGTGGTCAGGATGGAGCCCCTTGCTCAACCGCGAAAAAACCTCGCTGCGGTCTGGAGGGTGGCCGACGCAAGTCTTGGACAAGCGTCGAAGCTGGCCTCCAGTGCTGAAAGCGTGACAGGCGCGACACACACAGGCAAAACTGTGGTCATCGAAGTCAATCACAATGCAGCTGTGTCCGAGGGCACGCAACTCGAAAGGATCGATACGGAGCTGGCGGGTGCACACTCCTGGAGCGGGCTTCGTCTGCTTGCGGGAACAACGCAAGCAATGCGGACATTGCCAAAATCGGCCTACCCAAACCCACTCGTGTGACGGGCTGGCAGGCTTCGAGACTCTCGGCGGGACTTCCGCGCGAGGCACACCTTCGAGGTTGGTCCTGGGCCAGCGCTCGAGCAATCTTGCAGCTAATTTGAAGACGGCCTTTGCCGTGCGGATCGCGTGGTTGAGATTCACGCGATCGTCAGCATTCAAATCTTCATGCAACCGCGCACCTGCTTTTGCCGCCTCGTCGGCAGCATTATTACCAATAATGTGTCGGCGCTCCAGTTCCGAAATGTCAGGGTCGTCCGCTCTGTGGGCCTTGACCTTCTGGACCGAGCGCAGCATGTGATTCGCGAAAGCGTAGCTCTGCATAACCAACCCGCTGTAGGGCCGATTCGGCGACAGGCACTCGACAAAAGGCTTGCTGTATTCTCCAGCGACAGCAGCACAATCACTGAAAATGTCAGATGCACTGGTGAGGAGGCTGGCTGCACTAGCTGGCGCTGCGAACTCCGCAGCAACAGACGTCTGAGGGAAAAAGCTGCCCAGCGCGCCGTACATTTGAGCAAGGATCTTACCCGAAGGACCAAGACTCACAACTCCCCACCCCGAGCGGGAAAGATCCTTGATCGCCGACCGCAAACAGGAGCCGTCTGTGTAGAGGTCCCCTCCTAAAGCCCTCACCCCTCGGAAGGAACTGGTAACCCCTCAGCCTGGTACGCTTCAGGGAAGACCTGGAACACGACGCTGTCCAGGGCTTGTTCCTGGGACAAGGGGCCTGGAGCCCAGAGGGGCGGGTGCGGGAAAAGGCCCGTCTCGCAGACCAGCTTGAAGCTCGGACTGGGATCGGCCAAGAGCTCCGCACGAATCTTGGCGAGAAGACGCTCACCAACAATATCCACTCGATCTTCCTCGCATTCAGGACAGAACCAAAGCCTATGCAGAATCGTGTCTCCTACCTGGCCGCACAGATAGCACTCGTCCTCTACACAGTAGCCGAGGGAGACTGCGCGGCTGAGCGGCCACACAGCCTGACAGATCAAGGCTTTGTTGGCACCTTTTTCCTTACGAGAAAACTTGGGGGGCGCCAGGGCCGCATCAGCCAAATCGAAACAGAGGCGGGTCCCGTCGAAGTACCTGTTTCCAGCCTCGATTTCTAAATCTCGTAAAACCGCGCTCTTTAAATATCTCTTCAAAAGGGCAGGGGAGGTGAGCAGGAGGGGATTCTGCACATCTCTGTCGTCCGTCATCGTGAAAGGGTCAGTCATGTCCCAGCCGAGCCGTTTCAGGGAGAGGTACATGGCCCCGACGGGGCCCTTGCAAGATCTCCAGGTACGCGGGGGTCGGGCCCAGACTGCGGACCATGCTTCACGAATTTCTTGCCAGTTGAGCGGCCAGGGAGCCCTCGTCTGCAGCAGCCACAACTCCTTGCAATACCGAATGATGGGTGCAACAGATCCGTACCAGGCTGGGTCTTTTTCGAGACGGGTGAGGATCGTGAGCGAGCGTCCCCCGCAGTTCGGCTTCATGGTGGAAGCAGCCAACTTACGGATCTTGTGCACTTCGCCCTCGGACATGCCCTGGGCCTCAGCCCCGTACTGAGCGCCTGCAAGCGGCCCAGAAACAAACGCCTTAGTAGCGCGAGAGCCCAGCGTTCCACGCTGGCGTACTAAGCGGCGGGTCCTACGCACCGCAGCATTCATCCTGGTCTTCGCCTTTAGCATTTCGCCCCCTAGCCCTCCTGGAAGTCCCTGGAGTGAAATCGATGCCGAGGTTAACCGTGGTTTCCCTGTGGGGCCCAACGAGATCTCCAAAGACTTGGGAGAGCCTACTAGAAATGTACTTAGAAGACGAGACCATGGCTGTCTTGTCCAAAGAAATCTGGGCGCGCATCATAACAGTGATGGCGTGCTGCAGGGTGGTAGCTCCGTCCTGCAGGCTGGTGACTATCTGTTCGGCCGTGCCGACAGCTTTGAGGCCAGAATCGTCGATGTAGACATCAAGGGTGGTGCACGGACCCAGGGCCACAGAGTCGAAAGATTCAAGCCCAAAAACCCTGATCATCGTCGTAGCGATCGAGCAACCCGCAATCACACCGTGATCTCCAAACACTGGGGGAGCCAGGACCCCGCACAAAACCATAAAACGAGCCGATCGATATCCAGCCAGACAGACCGCCATCAGCACAGGAGGAAAATTAAGCCTCTGGCCGCGCGACTCCAGCAGGGCCAAAGGAATCTGCTCGTAGTATTTCAGCATATCGTAAAACATAGCACCTGCATGCTGGCCTGAAGACGTGCTGCGCTCGGCCGAGACCGACTGGCGCCAGACCACGTCCGATGGCGACCTATGCTTCCCCGCGGCCCAGTAGGGCCTGTCGTTGGCTTCCCCCCAGACCACAGCATAGGGCCTCCGAATGCGGCCCCAGATGCGAAAGGGGCTCGAAAAAAAACTCCGATGGGGCGGAACCCAGGGACCGACTTCGGGATCATGGCCATGATCAAGGCCCGAAGTTGTCGGGGAAGCATGCCAGCCGACTCGACGATCACGAAAATCCTCCCTAGGCACACCAGGGCCGCGTCGGAGAGAAACTGATAGTGCCGAAGGTGGAAGCCGTCCAAGCCGACAGCCGAGCGCCTCGAGTAGGACCGCGAGGCCGTGCGAAACTCGTCCACTGTGATCTGCGGCAGTGGCTCGAGCTTGCAACACCGAAGCCGAGGGGGGGGTATCCACAGCCCGCCACAGCTTGCCAAATCTGTCACTCTCTTGCTTCAAGAGGGCCTGAGGGTCGCTAACCAGGGCTCCAAACCGACTCAAAGTGGAGGTGGGCCTCCAGGCCGCGGGGCCCTTGGAAACCTGGTGGGCCCGACGGGCGCCCTGGTTTATCCCGTCCAGGAGCCAGGAGGCCCAATCGGACCTGGCGATCTTGGAAAACTCCTCGGAACAATTCTTGTTGGCCTCTTGAAGCTGGGTATGAACGTCGCCCAGGCAGGCCTTGCACTCGTCGGGGTCCGCGCCCCACAGGCAGGCCACAGAGGAAGCGGCGGTGTACGCAGCGGCGTAGCTACCTTGGTGTTCCGCCACAAAAGCAGGGGGCGAAGCCAGGGCAGCCTGCACCTTAGCGAAATCCGAGGGATGCTTGTCGGGGCCCGACAGCACCAGACGATAAAATCTTAAGAAGTTGGACCAAAGCCATTTCATGCTGTGGAGCACGGGGTAACGGACCGAGCCGTGGTCGCGACCCAGGACGGGCTTCCACCACATCTCAACTCCTTTGCCCCGTGCCCCATAGTATGGGATGGTCGTGTCCATCACATTACACAGTTCTCGTTCGGCCGTGTTGGCCCATTGCTTCTAGGCAGCAGCGAGAAGAGAGTCCAACACGTCAACATCCCCCCTCTGGGCCCTAACCAGGGCCTTGTCCAAAAGGGCCGAGCATTTACCGTAACACGGGGGCTCGGGCGAAGGACCGATCGGGGCATCCACAGCGATCGGGGGGGGGCTTGCGAAACGAGAGGACGTGAAGATTGGCAATTCCGACGTGGAATTGGATCCGAACGGGCAGGAGGGGGTGGAACGTGCTCCCATCAAAATTCTTAGAGACTGAGCTGACGGCCTTCGCGAGGCCGCCCGACAGAACGAAGAAGTCGTAGCACTTGGGATCGCCAGTGCCATAACACGTGGGCCCGTCCGCCGCCACCAACTGGCCCCTGAGTTTGTGAACGAACTCGCTCTCGTGGAGCGTGGGCGGCTCGAGATTGAAGTCGCCGCCCATCAGGAAGGACATCCCAGAGGTCGAAAAATGAGCACCGAGGGCCCCAAGGATGTCGAGGTTCGCTTCGCTGAGCCCTTCAGAGTCCCGAAGGTAAAGAGAGGAGAGGAGGATGGCCTGGCCCCCTGGGGGGTGGACAACTCCAACCACGGCCCTGTGGGGCCAAAGCTCAGCAGAGCCCATACTATGCAAGCCTAGCCAGCTACGGGCCAGGATGGCAACACCACAAGAGGGGCCTCCCCCCTCTCCAAGGGTTCCTGTGGGACCCAGAGGGATTTCCAGCCGTGCCTGAAACAAAAAGCTGATGCCACTTCGATGGCGTCCCCAGCCTGGAGCTTGTGCTCCTGGACGAGGAGAACGTGGGCCGAGCACCTGGGAAGCCAGTCTCTCACCGACGACCAAGCGTTGCCGTTGACAGTTTCCACGGCCAGGGAAAATTCTTCCGAGGGGGGGGGCACCGGGGACTGCTGGGCAGCCACGAGCGTCAGCTCCAAGATTCTCCCAAGCATCTCGCCGTGCAGCCAGGGGAGTACGATGCGTCCCCTGAATTAACATCGTGTCACCGCTCGCATGAACTGGCAACATTACACGGGCAAGATTCTTCACGGACGGATTGGAGCAACCGTGCGGCGGGGCCGCCGAGACCGACGGCACCGAGCCACAACGAGGATTACGTGAACTGGGGCCGTACAGAGAGGGGCCAGGCGCGCAGCAGAGCTTGACCCTCTCAAGAATGGCCGAAAATATCTCCGATTCGATGCCCCCCGCTTCACATCGAGACGTCAAGCGGGGGGCCGCCTTTGCCAGACACCTTGTTGGCTGCCAGAGCGCGCGCTGCCTCGCGCATCTTGGCCAGGTCAGGCGGTGGGGGTGATGCCGAAGATCCACTAGCAGCCTGACCAGTGCCTGCTGTAGATCCCGTAGACGGAGCCGAAGGAGCCGAAGTCGGAGCTGGCTGAGCTGCTGGTTCAGCTTGGGCTGCCTGTCCAGGAGCGGGAGCGCCGTCAGCAGTTTGCCCTTGCCCATCAGCTTCAGCAACATGAGCTCCGTCCTCACCTCGACGACGCTTGGCCTTGAGGCGCTGGGGATGCTCCACGTGCGCCGCCTTGGCTGCCTGCTCCGACTCCATCGCCTTGGCGAACAGGTCCTTGGCCATGGTGTTGAAACCGCTGACCAGCTGCTCCTTCCGCCTGTTGACCTCCGCAATGTCCGACTCCTCGAGCGTACCGACCTCGGGGTCGATGTCCAGCAGGTCGCCGACGTCCAGCTCGAAGGCGTCGATCTTGCCTGCCAGGAGCTCGGAGAGCGACACGACTGGTTTGCTGGCGTCGGGGTGCTGCTTGCGCAGCGAGTGTACCTTCTCCGTGAGCTCGTCGTGCTTGGCGTCCAGGCCGTCCATCTCCTTGTTGATCTGGACGATGAGGGACTCCTGAGCGACGACTTTGAGGCGAAGCTTCTCGAGATTGCCGAACTCCCAAGACAACTTCTTCCCCAGTTTGAGTCGCTCGCGCTGGCAACGTGCGAGCTGTTCTTCAAAAGACTCCTCAGCCTTAGGCGGCTTCTTGAGCGCAGTCAGCTGTACTTGGTAGCGGTTGGCCTCCGTCGTGTTGCCCACTTTGCGGAAAAGCTCGACGAAGGTCTCCAGCTCTTGAACCGACAGCTGGGTGACGTTGGGAAGAGGGCCAGGCTGGACCACTCCTCCTTGCGGACCTGGGACCAGGGCGGGGGTGTAGAAGTAGCCAGGTGGTGTCCACACAGCGCCTCCGTGCCCCTTGCCCTTGCCCTTGGACGGCTTACCTCCGCCCTTGTGCACGCCCTTGCCGTTGCCGCCGCCCTGGAAGCCTTGAAACTGCAGCCCTGGCGAGAGAGCGGGAAGCAGGCCTCCAACAGCAGCGTTCTGAGCCCAAACACCAGCAGGAGGAGAGGGCTCAGCCACCTTCGGGGCGTTCCAGGCCGTGCCGCAGTGCTTGCAGACGTGGCTCGCCATCTTGTTCTTTGCGCAACCGCACGAGCTGCACTTCCATGTATTGCTTCGCTGGAACGGTGGACCTTGGCGCCATGGGGAGTCTGCGAAGGCATCTCCCGCGGGCCCTGGGCTCATCCGCGGCCGAGCGATGGAGGGGATGTGGCCCCTCGGCCTGAGTGAAAAGCTGAGGATCGATTGCCGTGAAGCCAGAGGCCCGCAACAGCAATGCCGTTCTGAAATACGCGGTTGCAAGTCCAGGCACAACACCTGGGCCAGAACGGCTAGGAGGAGGAGTGGGAGCGGGAGGAGGAGGAGATGGAGGAGGAGGAGGAGGAGGAGGAGGAGGAGGAGGAGGAGGAGGAGGAGGAGGAGGAGGAGGAGGAGGAGGAGGAGGAACGAAGGCCGCAGCGGCCTGGGCGGACGGCGGGTCCCCCCCCTGCGGGGAGCTCCTGCACCTCCTCGCCTGCCAGGCAGCCGATCGGGCCATCCTGGCGGCCACTCCAGCTCGAGGAGAGAGAAGGATTAGGGGAACGAAGAATGGCATAAACATAACAACTCGGAGGTCCGCGCGGATTTCTCGGATCGGCTCTGTATGTTTGTCATGTTTCGTTCCCCTAGGGATGGATTCATGGGGGAGGCGAGACGGGGAAGGTGCAAGCCAAGCGCGTCCGCGCTACGTCCAGCAACCCGATACCCATCGCATCCGTCCAACTCCACTGCGCCGAATCCACTGTCCGCCGAATGGGGGGATGTCCTGGGGGTGCTAGAAGACATTGGTCCCCGGTCTAATGTGCACCGAGGGGGGAAAGGAGGAAGAGGAGGAGGAGGAGGAGGAGGAGGAGGAGGAGGAGGAGGAGGAGAAAGAGGAGGAGAAGGAGGAGGAGGAGGAGGAGGCGGAGGAGAAGGATGAGGATGAGGAGGGACATGTGTTCCACGCTGGGGCCCCGCCTGTTTGCCGCCGCACCACCAATGCCTCCATGCTTATCTCTCCTTTGACATACTTGAACCACATATGTTCAAACCTCTTCCAGCAACGCTACCGTACTTTTCGGATTCAATAATTACCCCAGTGCGACCCTACCTAGAAGTTGGAGCCCCTAGGAAAGCAGCATTAGTTGCTATACTATGCTATGCTATGCTATGCTGCGTTATGCTATGCTATGCTATGCTAGGCTATGCTATGCTGCGCTATGCTATGCTATGCTATGCTAAGCTATGTTATGTCATGCTGCGCTGTGCTATGCTATGCTATGCTATGCTTGGATGTGCTATGCTATGCAGTGCTATGCTAATGCAGCGCTGCGCTATGCTAAGCTAAGCTAACCCTCTAGACAGAGCCTAGGTAGGGAATTACGCTGTGCATTGCTTTGCCTTTCCTTTGCTTTGCTTTTGCTTTTGCTCTGCTTTGCTTTGCGTTGTTTGTGCTTTGCTTTGCTGTCGCTGCTGTTGCTTTGCCTTTGCTTTGCTGCTATGCTATGCTATGCTCTGCTCTGCTCTGCTCTGCTATGTTATGCTGCGCTGTGCTATTATGTGCTGTGCTGCGCTATGCTATGCTATGCTGCGCTATGCTATGCTATGCTGGGCTCTGTTATGCTAAAGCTCAGCGAAGCTAAGATAAAGGTAAGCTAAGCTATGATAAACCTGAGTTAAACTGAAGCTAAGCTAAGCTAAGATGAAATAAGCTAAGCTAAGATGAGATAAGCAACGCTAAGCTAAGGGGACGTAACTGGGGGAACCGCGGGGCGGATACTGGGGGAACCGCCCGGGGCGCTTTCCACTGCCCGGCCCCTTTAAGAAAGAGAGTAAGAACCCTTCTAGGCAGAGCCTAGGTAGGGAATTAAGTTTGGATTCGCCCTTCCAGGCGGGGTTTCTTTTCGGGGGAAAAGGAGGAAAGCTCAGGGACATGACAGCGCGACGAGAACTGGTGACCCTTGGAAGGGCAATTGACGGACAAAGCTTCGATCCATGCGTGATACAACCCGCAATGATCAGGCAGACAAGTGGGGGGCAGGGGGAGTAGAAGGAAAGAGGGGAGGCAGAACATAGGAAACAACGTAGCGGCAACGCCGAATACATAATCATAACCAGACATGCAGCACGGGGCTACGGCGTGGCTCTGTTCTGGACAAAAGAAACAATACACATACCTGGAAACGTGGCCAACGCTGGAGCGGGGACGCCGCCTTGAGGGACCGAGCACGTCCCGACTGAAACAAACACACGTGACAGCTACGTGCTCAAATCCTGCGTGAAAAAAGTGCAGGAGAGGCGGATGACACACGCGAATATGCATTGACACAGGGATTTGCCCGAACCCTCCTGCGTTGGCCGTCACGACATCCTCCTTCTCCTCCCGCCTCCTTCCTCCTTTCGTCCCTCCTCCTCTTCCCTGTTGGCCTCTTCCTGCCTGCCAGCTGGTCTCTTACCTCGCCGTACAAGGTTACCTCGCCATCCCTCAAGGGGTGCTAAATGCGAAAGTGTTGCCACCTTCGGAAGTTGCTGGGGGGGGGGGCTAGCGGAGTGACGCCATACGCGGACTCAGAATAGATCCCGCCATCCATGGGGACTGCGATATGCGAAACTATCGCCACGTTAGAAGATTGCAGCGGGATCCAGCGGAGCGGGGCTCCGCCGCCGATTCAAAGTCGGCCTCGGCATCCGTGGGGGGGCTGTGAAATGCGAAGCGGTCGCCATTTTCGAAGTCTCGTGGGGGTTCGGCGGAATGAGACCCCGCCGCCGATTCGGATTAGACCTCCCCGTCCCGTGGGGGGCGGGGCGGCGAAATGTGAGACTGCTGCCCTTTGTGAAAGCTGCGGTTGGGTCCAGCACAATGAGGCCCGCCGCAACTTCAGATTCGATTTCGCCATCCTGGGGGGGGATGCCATATGTGGCAACGCCGCTATTTTCGAGGGCTGTCGGGGGGTCCAGCGGACTGGCGTCATTTGCAGATTCAGATTCGACCTCGCCATCATTTGGGGCGGTGAACAGCGAAACTGTCGCCACTTTCGAGGGATGTTCGGGGCCCCGGCGGAATGATGCCATACGCGAAGTGGCACTCGACCCCGCCATCCCTGGGGGGGGGTGCGAACTGCGACGCTGGCGCCTCTTTCGAGGGGCGCTGGGGGATCCGACAGGGAGGCGTGATGCGCACGTGTACATTCGACCTCGTCACCCCTCAGGGGGTGCTAATTGCGAAAGTGTTGCCACCTTCGTCGGCGACGGGGGGGGGTCCATCGGAGTGGCGTCAAACGCATTCCATATTCGACCTCGCCATCCCTGGGGGCTTGCGAACTGTGAAACTGTCGCCACTTTCGAAAACCGCTGGGAAGTGGGGGGGGGGGGGGGGCGGACTGACGCCACACGTAGATTCAGACTCGACCTCGCCATCCATGGAAGGCTGCGAACTGCGAAGTTCTCGCCACTTTCGAGGGCTGCTGGGGGGGATCCGACGGAGTGGTGCCACGCGCAGGTGCACATTCGACCTTGCAATCCCTGCGGTAGGAGGGACTGCGGCGCTGTCGCCATTGTCGAAAGCTGATGTGGGGGTCAGCGGAATGGCCGTATACGCACATCCATATTCGTCCTCGCCATCCCTGCGGGCGTCTAGCTCCCACATTCAAGCGCGGAGGAAGCAAGCGGAAACGCTCACGGGCGAGCTCGGCCTCGCTCGCTTCTCGCACTGGCTACGTACAGCTGGTCCTGTGAAGCGCAAGGGCGACGTGGCGCGGGCCGCGCTGCTTGTCCAGCGTGCCGCTGGACAATGCTCGCCACTCTCCTTCCTCATCCTGCCTCTTTCGTTGTCGTCCTCTTCCTCCCTCCGCCGTCTCACCGTTGCTGCTATCGCGTTAACTGTTCGGCTCCTCTTCCGTCCTTCTCGCGCCCCTCGTTCCCACCCCGATCTCCTTTTCGAGCCTAGGGCCCCAGCTCTCGTCCTTCTGTTGCTGCCCTGTGAGTCGTGCGGCGCGCGTGCTTCCCATATAGCTTGCACCACCAATGCCACATCCTGTGTTGTCATCCGCCAATCTATTTTGGATCAACTTCTGTCGCCACATAATGCGACTGGGTTGGGTACGTCGCAAGGAAACATTATATCAAGGCAGGCTGCCCCCCGTCCAAATAGGAACTGATCCCTCCGGCCGAAAGGAACTGATCTCGACCGTCGTGCAGTCTGGGGGGCCGTCCGCTGACGAGCTGGTCGCTTCGTGCGCTCCGACGGCCAGGGCTTGCCCGAGCGGGCCGAGCGGTCGGCTGTGATCTCCACCACTTGGCGGAAGATCCAGCGCGGCTTGGCATTCGGCAACTCCGAGATGCTTCTACTGGAAGGGCCGCGCAAAGGCTCTGGTCGGAAACCCTCTTCTACCCAAGGCTGGCGGCAACGAGCTCCAGCCCATCTGGGCGGCACACCCGCAAGGGCACCTGCCCCACAAAAGGACGACGCGGCAGTTCGCCCCTGCCCACCCACGTATCGACGACCATCAGCACGACCGCCACCACGACCACCACCACGACGACCACGACCAACGCCACGACGACCACTCCCACGTGCACCGCGCCTACCCTGTCGGCGTCGAAAGGACCTTTCACACGGCTGCCTTTGAATATTCCCGGAAAGGGCGTGGGCCCAGGGTTCTCTTTTAGTGTGGTAAACCTGTCCTCGGTGCCTCAACTGAGGTGGGCCGGCGGATTCTTTCCCTGATGAATATCGAGGTCGAGGTGGGCCGGCGGATTAAAATTTGAGCATGTCTCAGGCGAAACGCTTGTTTTTGAAATCCCGATCGATAAATCACAGGGTGCGGGCCACCTCGGCACGACCACACCCCAGCACGACCACACCCCAGCACGACCACGCCCCAGCACCACCACGCCCCAGCACGACCACACCCCAGCACGACCACACCCCAGCACGACCACACCCCAGCACGACCACAGCCCAGCACGACCACCCCAGCACGATCACACCCCAGCACGACCCGATCGATAAATCACAGGGTGAGGACCACCCCAGCACGACCACACCCCAGACACGACCCCACCCCACCACGACCCCACGACCACAGCACGACCACGCCCCAGCACGACCACACACCCAGCACCACCACGACCCCAGCACGACCACCCCAGCACGACCACCCCCCACACCCCCCAGCACGACCACACCCAGCACGACCACACCCCAGCACGACCACTCCCCAGCACGACCACACCCCAGCACGACCACACCCCAGCACGACCACACCCCAGTCGCACCCCCGTGGAATGTTTCGTGGCGTGTCTGGTTGAGTGGTTGCCTGTTCGTGGGGTGTCTCGTGGAATGTTTCACGGGGTGTCTCGTGGAATGTTTCGTGAGGTGTCTCGTGGAATGTTTCGTGAGGTGTGTCGTGGGATGTTTCGCGGGGTGTCTCGTGGGATGTTTCGTGAGGTGTCGCCCAATTTGGTATCGTGAAAACGTGACCATGCTGCACATGTCTATATCCCTTTCCGGGTTCGTGGGTCCATAATGTTTTTTGATTCGATTCTGGCAGAACTTGCTTGCATGGAGGGTTGGGAGGGTCCCTGGCGGGCCCCTAAAAAAAATGAGATCACGCAGGCCGAAAATATTTAGCACGGTTTTTCCCGCAAAAGGCTCCGGCCCTGGGTTCTCTTTTAGTGGGTTACCCCTGGAATCCACTTGAGGTGGGCCGGCGAATTTCTTCAGCGAGAAAATAACGAGGAGAGGGTGGGCCGTCGAATCATTTTTTGAGGATGTTCCGAGCGAAACGCTTGTTGTGCAGAAATTGTTGAGGATGTCTCGAGCGAAACGCTTGTTTTGTGTCATGGATTGTCCTCTCCTGGGGACTAGAATTCAGAGGATCTCTCAAGTGAAATGCTTGTTTTCACGTGCCCATGTCTTGAGGATGTCTCAAGCGAGACGCTTGGTTTCACGCGTCCAGGTTGCCCAGGCAGATGTCTAGCATGAAGGTGTGTTGATGATGTCTCGAGCGAGACGCTTGTTTTCACGCGTCCAGGTCGACCAGGCGGATGTCTAGCATGAGGATGTGCTGAGGAAGTCTCGATCGAAACGCTTGTTTCAACGTGTCCAGGTTGCCCAGGCAGATGTCGAGCATGAGGATATGTTGAGAATGTTTTGAGCGAAACGCTTGTTTTCACGTGTCCAGGTCGCCCAGACGTGTCCAGGTCGCCCAGGCGGATGTCATGAGCAGGTGTTGAGAACGTCTCGAGCGAAACGCTTGGTTTCACGTGCCCAGGTCACCCAGGCGAACGTCTGACATGAAGATGTGTTGAGGATGTCTCGAGCGGACCACTTGTTTTCACGTGTCCAGGTCGCCCAGGCGGATGTCTAGCATGAGGATGTGTTGAGCGAAACGCTTGTTTTCACGTGCCCAGGTCACCCAAGCGAACGTCTGACATGAAGATGTGTTGAGAATGTCTCGAGCGGACCACTTGTTTTCACGTGTCCGGTTCGCCCAGGCGGATGTCTAGCAGGATGATGTGTTGAGGATGTGTTGAACGAAACGCTTGTTTTCACGTGTCCAGGTCGCCCAGGCAGACGTCTAGCATGAGGATTTGGGCAGGACGTCTCGAGCGAAACGCTTGTCCCCCGCATGTTCCGTAGCGCGTCCCCTTGGCACGTCCCGCGGTGCGTCCCCATGGCGCGTCCCCTGGCACGTCGCCTGGCGCGTCCCTTGGGACGTCCCGCGGCGCGTCCTCCTGGCATGCCCCCCTGTCAATTGGCTCTGGGGCAGCTACTATGTGCTCAGGCAGCTCGAGCTTCAAGATCCAGATCAGTTCGGTCAGGACTCGGATGCAAAGGAGGACTCGATCCACAACGCTATATAGCACAATCGCGGCATGGCACATCGAAATTCAGCACGGCGCCTGGTTTGTCCCGTGGCACGTTCCGGAACGCGTCCCTTTGGCACGTCCCGCAATGCGTCCCAATGGCGCGTCCCCTGGCACGTCGCCTGGCGCGTCCCTTGGGACGTCCCGCGGCGCGTCCTCCTGGCATGTCCCCTTGTCAATTAGCTCTGCGGCAGCTACTATGTGCTCAGGCAGCTCGAGCTTCAAGATCCAGATCAGTTCGGCCAGAACTCGGATGCAAAGGAGGACTCGATCCACGACGCTATAGAGCACAATCGCGGCATGGCACATCGAAATTCAGCACGGCGCAGCACAACACAGCCCTCGGCACGGTACATCAAAATCGATACACTCAACATTGCATTTGCCCGTCGCCCACTCATGTGTCCTTGAAACATTGTCATGCCTGACGTTTCCTTTCCGGGTTCGTGGGTCGATCATGTTCGCCCCATTGCTGAATGAGAAGGCGGCGAAAGAGGTTTTTTTTTTTGGGGGGGGGGGGAAAATGACATGCGAATGGTGGCGGAGTCGGGACAAAACCAAATCCTATCTCGATCCATCTGGCCGAAAACGGCCTCGAGTCCGGAGGCCGAAGGCTGCAGAAACCGCCGCCTCGACGTTTTACAAGACGCTGGCCGTCGTGGACAGGGGGGGGGAGGATGATGGGGGACGTGCAGCGTGGGGGCCACAGGTCCTGAGGGAGACGCGGGTCCTAGATCCGCCGTCCCCCATGATCGGGGAGACGTAAGACCCGGGTACGGGGGACTCGGAAATCCCCGACGAGGTCGTCAAAATAATGACGAGGCCGAGCCTGCATTTTGACGAGGCCTCCCGCTGCAGACATCCCACAAAACTCCTCCTCGTCAAAATCCGAGTCGCGGTCGTCAAAAAACGATGGCGAACCCGAGTCCTGGCAAACCCGGGTCTTACGCTCCCCCGACATGACCACTTCTGCATCCTGGGCCTTCTTCTGCCTGTCCCGGGGCCCGTGGAGGGCCCCGAGAGCCTGCCCACGGCGAGAGAGCTCGGGACCCGTCTCCCTCGGAGCCCGCTCGCCCCATGGCGGGGACGCGGGGGACAGGGCGCTCCTCCGCCGGGACGCGGCAGACGCCGCCCGAGGCCAGGCAGGTGGGCCCCTGCGCGCCAGGCTGCTCCGCCGGCGGTCCCGCGCCCCCCGGCGGCAGGAGGTCGGCTCCTCTGGGGGCTCCTCGTCGTTGACGTCGCCGGCGGCGAAGGCGACGACCACGACGACGTTCTCCCGAGGCCCCTGCAGGCCCCGGATGTCGGCTTCTCGGGGGGCCTCGGGGGCCTCCTGGTCGTCGTCAACAGCCCCGACCTCCCGCGTCTTGGGTGAATCAAGACAGACGCTCGCCGTTATCGGCCGCGGAGCGTTCTCGAGCCCCTGGGGCCAGGAAGAACGAGCCGGCACGAAGAACATCTGGAGGCGTCCGTGGAGGTCAAGAGCGGTCCCCATGCCTTCGGAGCCCCCTCGGGAGCCTCCGAAGGCCCAGCCTTAAACCGTTCAAAGACCTCGCTCAAAACGTCCAACGACCTCGATCCTACAAAGACGACTGCGAAAATGACGACGACGACGCCGACGCCGACGCCGACGACGATCACGACGACGACGACGCGTTTCTCACTTTCATGCTTGTTCCGGTACGACTCTTGCACATGCGCTGGGGCAATGATTCCAGACCCTTGTGCAAACACTTCGTCGAAAATCAATTTGGCTTGAGAGAATCCCGCCATGGATGAAACGTAAGACCGACCTTGACATATTTTGCCGGTTCCCACGGTCTGCCCAATACTGTAACTTGTACGGACAAGGCCGGTTCCCGCGGTCAACCAGCTGCCTACATCCGCCCTGAGGGCGGTGCAGCGCACGACTGGGAGCTGGCAATCGCAGCTAGCCTACTGCTTTCCCCTACTGACGCGCCGTTCGGTGCAGAGAGCTCTCGCTCGCTCGACGTGCGTTCATCGTCCCCCGTGATTGTCTTAAGATGAGCGGCGACGATGACGATCGACGGCGCCGATGCCCCGAAGGCACCGCGGTGCGAACCCAGCGCCTCGGCATTCTTCGTCGTCGACGTCGTCGCACTCGTTCATGTTATCGTCTTCGCCGCCGCCGTTGTCTTTGTCGTCGTCGGAATCATCATCGTCGTTTGCATCCCACTCCTCCCCCGTCTTCGTCCTCGTCGTCGTCCTCGTCGCCCTTGACCGCGTCCTCGTCGTCCTCGTCGTCCTCGTCCTCGTCGTCCTCCTCGTCGTCGTCCTCGTCGTCCTCGTCGACCTTGTCGTCCTCGTCGAAGCTTGGCGGCGCGCACAGGGGGGCAAGGGGAGGGGAGGCCCGCGCCCTCTCTCAGACGCAGGGGGTGCTTCTAAGAAGCCCTCGTCGACCCCACGGAACAAACAGAATTCCCAGTCGATTTGCGAGTACTCTACGCATTCGTCGCAGATTCGATGGGGAACATCAACTCTGGGGTAACTCAATTCTGGAATCGATCCCCTACTCGAACACGGCCTCCGGGACCCTCCAGAAGGCCTCTGGGGCCCGCCGCCTTTTGGCGGCGCGCAGGGGGGGGGTAGGTGGAGGGGGGAAGGGTTCTTAGAATGAGGCTGCTTCTCAAAGGCGCGGGCCTTGCGCCTACGGACAAGGCCCGCGCCCTCTCAGACGCAGGGGTGCTTCTAAGAAGCCCTCCCCCCTCCCCCTACCCCCCCTCTGCGCGTGGCCGAGTAGCCCTCCTGCTCCACCTTTCCGTCCTCGCCCTCCTCCTCTGGGGGGTGGGGGAACGGACGGGGGAGAGTCCCGGAAACGGCCTCTGGTCGGCGGCGAGCGAGGGGGGGAAATGCGAAGGAAAGAACCTTCTCAGAAAGCCGCGGGACTTCTCAGAAGCCCTCCGGCCTTCTGAGAGGTCTTCTGATGTCTTCGGGGAAAGCTGAGAACACTTCTCAGAAGGCCGGGGAACTTCCGCGCCTTCTGAGGAGGCCCGCCCCTTCTCACTTCCCCACCCTCGCCCGCAGCCGATCTGGAGGCACAAGATGGCGAAACACTGGCACCGCGATGGCCTTGCGACGCCCAGACCTGGGGGTCCTGCCACAAGAATGCGCCCCAAGCTGTGGGCTGCAACGGCTCCAATCGAGAGCTGCGGCAGGACCGCGCTGCAGCATGCGGGCGAGAGCCCCGAGGCAACATCGCTGCCCAAGCATGCCCAAGGAAGCTCCGTCTGCCCTGAATCGCTGCAAATCGTCGGCCCCCCCGAGAGCCTGCGAGATAACCCGCGACAACCGCCGGAAACCGCAACAAATATTCGAAGGCCCTCGAGACCCTGGTACTGTAGAACCTCCGAGGATCGCCGTGAGCTTCCGAGAACAACCAACAACATCGCGGCCATGAGCCTCCGAAGCCGTCCGATGACGCGCGAAGACTGGCGAAGACACCTTGCCCGAGGGCGCCTCTCGGGACGTCGACGTCAACGACGATGGGAAAGACGCCTCCGACACCCCCGACGACGTCGACACCTCCGACGGCGCCCCCGACAACGCCCACGACGATGGCGATGGCAACAGGGCCGACGACGACGTCGACGAGGGCCTCCCCTGGCGGGGGTGCGGCACGAAAGAGATGGGCCATCGGCTTCGTGCGCTTCTTTCTCGCAAGATGGTCCACTCTGTAAGCACGTTTTTTTTGAAGGCAGATCAGCCTCCAAACACATGTTTGTTTGAAAACAGATCTGACATCAACAAAAACATGTTTTGAATGCAGATGCTCCTCAGTGATCCCCGCCAGCAGAACATGCACACCTCCGAACGATGCCCAGGCTCCTGGAGCCCCGGAGGGCTTCCTCCATGGCTTCTAGGCGGCCCCTGGGCCCATAGAGGTCGAGTAGGAGAGTTACCCCCAAATTGATTGTCTCGTCGACCCCACGGAACAAACAGAATTCCCAGTCGATTTGCGAGTACTCTACGCATTCGTCGCAGATTCGATGGGGAACATCAACTCTGGGGTAACTCAATTCTGGAATCGATCCCCTACTCGAACACGGCCTCCGGGACCCTTCAGAAGGCCTCTGGGGCCCGCCGCCTTTTGGCGGCGCGCAGGGGGGGGGTAGGTGGAGGGGGGAAGGGTTCTTAGAATGAGGCTGCTTCTCAAAGGCGCGGGCCTTACGCCTACGGACAAGGCCCGCGCCCTCTCAGACGCAGGGGTGCTTCTAAGAAGCCCTCCCCCCTCCCCCTCCCCCCCCTCTGCGCGTGGCCGAGTAGCCCTCCTGCTCCACCTTTCCGTCCTCGCCCTCCTCCTCTGGGGGGTGGGGGAACGGACGGGGGAGAGTCCCGGAAACGGCCTCTGGTCGGCGGCGAGCGAGGGGGGGAAATGCGAAGGAGAGAACCTTCTCCGAAAGCCGCGGGACTTCTCAGAAGCCCTCCGGCCTTCTGAGAGGTCTTCTGATGTCTTCGGGGAAGGCTGAGAACACTTCTCAGAAGGCCGGGGAACTTCCGCGCCTTCTGAGGAGGCCCGCCCCTTCTCACTTCCCCACCCTCGCCCGCCGCCGACCTGGAGGCACAAGATGGCGAAACACTGGCACCGCGATGGCCTTGCGACGCCCAGACCTGGGGGTCCTGCCACAAGAATGCGCCCCAAGCTGTGGGCTGCAACGGCTCCAATCGAGAGCTGCGGCAGGATCGCGCTGCAGCATGCGGGCGAGAGCCCCGAGGCAACATCGCTGCCCAAGCCTGCCCAAGGAAGCTCCGTCTGCCCTGAATCGCTGCAAATCGTCGGCCCCCCCGAGAGCCTGCGAGATAACCCGCGACAACCGCCGGAAGCCGCAACAAATATTCGAAGGCCCTCGAGAGCCTGGTACTGTGGAACCTCCGAGGATCGCCGTGAGCTTCCGAGAACAACCAACAACATCGCGGCCATGAGCCTCCGAAGCCGTCCGATGACGCGCGAAGACCGGCGAAGACACCTTGCCCGAGGGCGCCTCTCGGGACGTCGACGTCAACGACGATGGGAAAGACGCCTCCGACACCCCCGACGACGTCGACACCTCCGACGGCGCCCTCTGCAGTGCCGAAGGAAGCTCCGTCTGCCCTGAATCGCTGCAAATCGTCGGCCCCCCCCGCGCCCCCGGCGGGGCTCCCGCCAGGCCCCCGCGCGGCCCAGCCGGCAGCGCCCAGGCCGCCAGGGCCCATGCGCCGAGGGCGCGGCGCGGCGCACCACGACGCGGCGCCCAGCGCCCAGGGCTCCACGACGAGGGCCACGACAATCCTCCCTCCTCCTCCTTCCTTCTCCTCGTCCTCCCTCCTCCTCCTCCCTCACCTTCACAGAAGGCCTGCACCTTCTCAGAAGCAGGGGTGCTTTTAAGAAGCCCTCCCCCTTCCTCCACCCCCCACTACGCGTGGCTGACAATTTCGAAACGCCCGACGAAAGCACTCTTCGCCGGTGCGCGGTGTGCTCGCGACAGGGCGGCCAGGAAAAGGCACTGAGGACGCGGAGCCCTGACTGCTGTTCCGAGCCGTTTCTTCTTCTCCTCCTCCTCCTCCTCCTCCTCTTCCTTCTCCCTCCTTCTCCTCCTTCTCCTCCTCCTCCTTCTCCTCCTTCTCCTCCTTCTCCTCCTCCCTGCTGGTGTCGCCCTAGGTTCCTCCGAACCAGGACGGCGACTTGCGTAGGCAACCACAGGCTCCACCACAAAATCCACGGATGTCCCTGGAGGACCTGTACCGTACTCTCGAAACCAGCGTGGATTCATGTACGCGTACGTCCTTCTTTCGCTCTTGACCTCCAGAGGCAGCGTGCATGGTCAGACCGCCCCGAAATCCCGATCCGACGACGACGATCACAACGATGACGTCGGCGCGGTCCCTTCGTGGAGCCCCGACAGGCGGCGCCATCTGCAGTGCCGAGCGGCGCGCGGGGAGGGAGAGGGAACACCGCCGCGGCTGCGGGAGGCTCCGCGGCGCAGCCTGGCCACGTCGACGACAAAGCATCGTCGCCACCGCCGACGCTGTCGTTGTCGTCCCGTGTGTCTCTCTCGCTCTCTCTCTCTCTCTCTCTCTTCTGTTTGTTTTCCTATCTCTCTCACTCTCTCTGTTTATAAGACAAAGCCAGGACGAATATAATATCGGGTGACGATAGATGGGTCGCTCTTGGGGCTCTCTTGGGGCGCTCTCGAGGCCCTCTTGACTTATCTGGGGGGCCTCCTGGGCCGTCTCTGGGCTTTCTTGGGAGCCTCTTCGGCAAGGGCCTCTGACGCAGTCCAGGACCGTGGGGAGGCGGAACATGGGAAAGCGCAAGAATGCTTCAAAAACTATGGGAAACTGAATGATGTTCGGCTTCTGGGGCCCTTTGGAAGGGCCTCTGGAGGCGCTCTTGGGACGTTTTGGCGGCGTCGTCGGCTGTTCTGAGGCCATCTTCGGCGTGTCCGGGGCCTCTGGGGGCTGTCTTTGGGCGTCCTGGGAACCCGGAACTCATGTTCCTGGAGCGGCTTCCGGGAAAAAGATTTCGAACAAGGCCCTCGTGGGCCTCCCGGAGGCCGTCTTGGGGGCCTCCTGGGCCGGCTTTGGGGCCTCTTGGGCCGTCTTGGGGGATTCTGTGAGCCCCACGGGACGATCTTTTTGGGCCGTCTTGGGCCCTCTTGGGTCTCTCTTGGGCTGTGTTGGGGCTCCGCGGGGGCGTCTGGGGCACTGTGAAGACGAAACAAGGGAGTATGCTGAAAATGTACGTTGTACTACGGGAGCGGGCTGATTTTTGCCTCTTGAAGGCCCTCTTGGGGCCTTCTTCGGCCATCTTGAAGCCATGTCGGGCCCTCCGGGGCTTCGCTGAGGCTGTCTTGTGGGCCTCTTGGGCGTCCTGGGGGCCCGGAAGTCATGTTCCCGGAGAGGCTTCGGGGAACATGATGTCGAACGAGGCCCTCTTGGGCCTCCCGGAGGCCGTCTTGGGGGCCTCTTGGGCCGTCTTGGGGGGTTCCGTGAGCCCACGGGACGATCTTTTTGGGCCGTCTGGGGCCCTCTTGGGTCTCTCTTGGGCTGTGTTGGGGCTCCGCGGGGGCGTCTGGGGCACTGTGAAGACGAAACAAGGGAGTATGCTGAAAGTGTACATTTTACGGGGGGAATGGGCTGATTTCTGCCTCTGGAAGACCCTCTCGGGGCCCTCTTCGGCCTCGGGCCCTCTTAGGCCCTGCTGAGGCTGTCTGGTGGGCCTCTTGGGCGTCATAGGAACCCGGAAATCATGTTCCCGGAAAGGTTTCCGGGAACATGATTGGGAGGTTTCCCGGAAATCAGGTTCCCGGAGATGTTTCGAACGAGGCCTTCTTGGGCACCACTGAGGCCGTCTTGGGGGCCTCCTGGGCTGGCTTTGGGGCATCTTGGGCCGTCTCGAGGGGTTCCGTGAGCCCCACAGGCCGACCCTTTTGGGCCGTCTGGGGCCCTCTTGGGTCTCTCTTGGGTTTGTTCATTCTTGTTTTCCAGAGAAATGCTGAGGCGAAGACAACATGTCATGTGGGCAGTTTGTCCCACACAACCCGCAGAGAACGCAACAATTAAATAGGCTTTGGGCTGGCGAGGGCAGAAGCGATGGCTACAGAGCGAGTGAAGCGGACGTATGCAATGAACAATACCGTGCACTGCTATGTTCATTCTTGTTTTCCAGAGAAATGCTGAGGCGAAGACAACATGTCATGTGGGCAGTTTGTCCCACACAACCCATCCTCAGAAATACACCCCGTCTTCAAGCAATGTACTGGATTACCGCATCAAATTCCACAGGCGGCTAGCCCGCAGAGACAAATAGCTGTGAGAAAGTTCTCGAGCGAGCACGGAGCACAGGCGCGGGGGGTAGGAAACTTTAAGATGAGTAAGGAAGCCGGCCTTGGACTTACCAGACAGAACAAGGTGCGGCTTGCCCGAAAACGTGCAAACACCCCTACCTTTACAGTGCCATGTGTATAGTTCTGGCGGAACAGATATATTGGCGAGAGCCATGCGAGTGCGCGCACGAAAAGGACGGCCAGCCCCGCAATAGTCAAAGACAACAGTCTGGACATTGGCATGAGAGTGAAAACGCTGGCGGCTGGGGAGCAGCCACAGCAGACTAGATGCGGGATTTTCCTCTCCAGCTGGCAGCTGGCGTCTCAGGGCGATGCCTAGCAAGAGTGCGACTCTGTCAGCCAGCTTGTTCGAGGTAACGACATCGTGATAGTCGGCGCCCTCCAGGCCTGGCAGGCCTCGCAGGTGCTCCTTCGTCCGCAAGCGACGAGGCATCACACTGTGAGGCGGAGCCCTGCGAGCCTGCGACCATTTTTCACAAGGGCTGCCTGAAAACATGCCCCAGATGATACCAGACTCAAGCCAGCCTCGAAGGGTGCGGAAGACATCATCTTGCAGCAAGTCGCACTCTGGGCCCAGGAGAACGTCAATGGAAACCACCGCGTGCCCCCTTTTCCTTAGCTCGGCGGCGAGGCCACCCGAGCCTGAGAAGAGATCCAGGAACGCCCGCCGCTCGCCAAGGCGGCCGGCGCGGAGGGCAGCACGTAGGCGATGTCGAAGAGCTGCGGGGCGGCTGCCGCCCAGCTCTCGCAGCTTCTCCTCTGGGCGCTGCTGAGGGCCTGCCTGACCACCGCCCGCCGACCGGCCTTGTCGTACCTCCGAACTGACGAAGTCGTCCTCCACGTTTCTCGCCTCCGCACCTCCAGCAGTGCGCGGTACCCTGCAACGCAGACGTATGTCGCGTCGCCGTGCCTCAGGAAGTGCGGCGAGCAGTCCAAACCTTCGAGCTTGAGGTATTGACAAGCAACATGGAAGTCGGCCAGGCGCTGCGGGTGCGAGCTCGCGGACAGCAGCTCGTCCCCGCGACGAAGCAGCTGCAGCTGCGCGACAGCGCGCCCAATCCAGTGACGTCGATGAAGGTCGGGCCCCACTGTGGAGTCGAATTCGCCCGTCCTGAAGCTGGTAGTAAGTCCCTCTGGGTGCAGGAGCAGGAGGGGTTGCTGCAGCCCTCCGACCACTCTGCACCTGCCTGGCGGAAACTGCATGGCCAGCAAGGTCGTGGTCTCCGACGGGCTCAGGTCGTACTCGACGGTCACCAAGACGCACCGCCCCGAGTCTGGCTTCCCCCGCGAGGCCAGCACGGCCGCCATCGCGCGCGCAGGCGCCCGCGGCAGCGGCTGGCGGGAGTGGCCCGACGGGCGCTGCGTCCCGCCTGACAGCGACGCGTTCGCCGAGGGAAAGAGGCGCCGAACGGGCCTTCCCAGCGCGGGCTCGCCCCCAGCCAAGGCGCAGCGGGTGCGAGGGGATGCCTCCTGGCCCATGTCGCGGTCGAAGGCCCACTCGGAGTAGTCCACCGGCGTCTCGTCCGACTGCGCGGGGATCCAGCCCGGCAGCGCCAGCAGCCGCGGCGAGCCCGAGCGCGTGGTCAGCGCCAATTGACGTGTCGCGCCCGACGCGCCGCCAGTCGCGAGCGCCGCAGACACAGCGGCGCCCGCCGCGAACAGACCTCTGCGGGCCTGTCGCTCAGCGGCGCCTGGGATGTCCAGCCCGGGCGGGAGCCCGAAGGGCCTGGCGGCCCGTGCCCGCCGCGCCAGTCGGAGGCGCGCAGGGTGGTCGGCGCCGGCCTGGGCTCCGCTGCATCGCGGGCGTGCTTGCCGTAGGCGGGGCTGACCGAGTAGACCGTCGTTGGCATTGTAGTGTTCCCTCGAGCCGATGTCTCCGGACAGAGGCCCAGCGTGATGTGTGCCGAACTCCTCCAGGCCTGGGGGTGTGCTGCACTGTCCGACAACGTGGTGCTTCCTTGCGCCTGGCATGAACCTGCGAGAGGGAGCGTCGCCCGGGTTGAGCTCTGATGAGATCCACCTGAACCTGAGCTGCATCCCAGAGGCGACTGAGATAGCGCAGATCTCCCGACAAATTACGTTGAGTGCAAAGTGTGCAGCTCTGCCCTTGTCACACGCGCACAACACCCCGAGGTTGTCACCCAGGATGAGGTGCCGATGTCCATGCAGCTGCGAGTTGCGCGCGAGGCGCCGCACAGCCCAGCGCGCCCCCTCAGCCTCCAGGACGTGGATGGCCGCGGCCCGCCGCCAGCGACGGGCGGCCGCGACCGCCCAAGGGTCTGCCAAGAGCCGCGCTGCCGGCACCTCCTCAAAGTGGGTCAGGGTGCCCTCCGCGGTGACCTCGGCCGCCGTGGCGTGCAGGAGCTGCTGTTCGACCAGCGTGTCCCTGGGGGCATAATCCGCCGTCAGAACTCCTCTGAAGCGACTGCGCTCCGAAAGGCTGCCAACTCGCCGAACATCACTGATGGGCCACGGCTGCTCCACCACGCCAAACCCCCATGGAGGGGCGTCCGTGGCGGTGACCCGTTCGCACCAGGGGCGGCTCAGCGAAACGGTCGCGCAGGGAAGCAGCGCTCTGAACCACGTGAGCTCCCGCTTCACCGACGACCAGAGAGGCTGCCGCTTGTCGCGCGACCGCCTGCAAAACTCGTAGATCGCATGGAAGAGCGAGAGCATGTGCCGCTGCAGCATGACCGCCGCGGTGATGTGGCCCATCAGCCTCTCGAGCTCGCGCCCCGTGACAAGACGCCCAGGTGCCAGTGCAAAATCGAGGCTAAACTTCAGCCGCCAAAACTTGCTGTGCGACAGGCGCCAGGTGGCCGAGGGCTTGTGGAGCACGAAGCCGAGCAGGGTGTGCATGTCCCCATCATCGCGGTCAAAGGAAGCCTGAATCCCCCGCGCGCCCAGGGCGGCCAGCATGCGCTCCACCTCCAGCGCGGGGTCGCCGCTGCCGGACGTGAAGACTGCGACGTTGTCGATGTACAGCATCTTGGCGGTGGAGCACTGAGTCCCCAGCGCCGGTGTGGGCACCTTGTCCGCGATCCAGGGCGCATCCGGGCTGATGGTGCTCAGGACATGGGCATGGGCCTCTTGAGTGAGGTGCACGGCCCACGACCAGCCCATGGGGACCACTCTGGCAACGAAGTGGGTCATCTCCGAGGGGTCTGAACCCCCCAGGCGCTGGCGGGCAGCCGAATCCAAGAAGCTTGCTTGGACCGCTGGCAGACCGAAGAAGGCACGTGCCCACGACGGCAGCTCGTACTGGTAGAAGCAGCACTCGACGTCACCAGAGGCCACAGCAATCCCTCCAGCAGCGTCGACCTCCAAGTTCGCCAGGGCCTCCCCGCTCGCGAGCAGCGTGTAGGGAGGATCCTGGAAATGGACATTAGACCTTCTGGTGTCGAAGATCAGCCGCAGCGACGAGTCCTTCTTTGGGACGAAAAAGATGCCAGCGCGCTCGATGATGCTGTCCTCGGCAGCAGGCTCAATGATGCCCGCAGAGAGCAGCTCGGAGAGGCACTCGCCATACTGATAGCCATGCCGCTGCAACACTGGGTCCATGGCGCAGACCCTGGGAGCCTCACCCAAAGCAAAATTGCGAGCCTCCGGCTCTCGTAACATCTGCGACGAGTCACACAAGAGAGACTGCAGGTGCGGCGGCAGGACGTCAGCAAGCCGTGCCCGCCCCGCCGCAGCCCGCGGGAGCTCCATGGCCCCCTTCCTGTAGGTTGTCGAAGCACCTTCGGCCACGACGTCTGTATAGCCGTTCCGCGAATCCTGGAGCGTCTGCCACGCCCCCAGGGGAGTCAGGTCGGACGGCGGCGGCTCCACCCTGCCGTAGAGCTGTGCGAGGCGCCGCACGGCGGCGACCTGGCAGGCCGCAGGGGCCCCCGCGGGGGCATCCACCCCGCGCCCACCAAGGTCGTTCAGCGTGGCGATGCCCTCGCGCAGCCAGACCTCCTGATGCCTGCGCTGCCGCCCGCGCCGACCGCCGCCGTGCGGCAGAAGGCGTGCCGCCGCACCTTGCAGCGGCTCGTCGAGCGTCACGCCCAGCGGGAGGGGCAGGACGTCGCGCGCGATGCCAGTGTCCGAGACTCCTTGCGCCGAGGCCGCCATCGCCACCGCAGTGGCGGCCCTCCCCTGTGAAAGCGCCCGCTGCCCGGGGGGCTGCAGCGGCCGCGCGCAAGCCGAAATACGAGCGGCGGGCTAGGCCCGCCCGCGGCCGCGGCCACCACGGCCTCGGCCGCCAGGGCCGCCGCCGCCTGCGCCGCCGCCGCCACCACCTTGATCGCCACCTCCTGCTGCGGCGTCGGCGCCGCTGCTGCCCACGCCGCGGGCCATGCGGCACTCCTCTCTGCCCTTGCGCCTCTCCTTGAGGATGGCGCTCTCCTCCTGCATCTTCTCCGCCACGTGCTTCTCCAAGGATGGCGCCACGAGAGCATGGCCCTTGGAGCGGGAGCCGCCGAGGAAGATCCTGCGCTCGCCCAGCCAGCCGTCCGAGTCTGCCGTGGCCCCCGCCGTGCCTGAGACCTCGACCTGGCGCAGGGCCTCGGAGTGCACCGCCTCCCACAGCTGGAATCGCCTGGCTGCCAGCTCGAACGCCAGGGAGGTTGAGCTGGTCGGCCGTGGAGGCCGTCTCGATCAGCTCGCACAGGAACAAATGCTCGTCGACCCCGGGGTCGGCAGCCGCCAGCCCCAGGATCTGACGCCACCAGTAGTGCCGCTGGACGGGCCCGTTACCCTGCTCCAGATGCGCCTGAAGCAGCCAGCCGATGGTAGCGGGCCCCTGCACGCGCCACTCCTGAGTGCTGAGCACCTCGCGCTGCTCGGCCACCACCTCCGCGAAGGCGCGCCGCCGCTGGCCCGTACCGCTCCTCCGGTACCTCAGGATGCGCTCGTCCAGGACTTCATCCCGCGCGTCCCGTGGAGAGAGCGGCGCCTCCTCGGGGAGGGCCCCCACTCGTCCCAGCGCGATGACCCCCTCCGGGAACGAGGCCAAGGCGCGGTCGTCCAGGGCGTAGACGGAGGCGAACGCCACGTCCACTGGCGAACCCCGCCTGAAGCCCAGCCGCGACTCCAGGGCGACCCAGCCGTCGTCCAGCTGCACTGGCGGCAGGGGCCCACCGCCGGCGCCCGCGCGAGGCGGGGGAGCGTGGCTCGGCGGTGGCAGCGGCGGCTCCGAAGCGCCAGCCGCCAGGTCGACCTCGGAACCACGCGGCGTGTCCGTGCCACCGGCCGCCATCTCCGGGAGTGCGTGCTGCTTCCCACGGAGCCGGCGGACCACCCCGGGCGCCACCGCCACTGAGTCGCGGCCGGCCTCGCGGCGCTCAGACTCCGCCAGCTGCGCCCCCTCGCTCAGGAGGGCGGCCAGAGCCTGCTCGTCCAGGTCGAAACGGTACAGCATCTTCTTGCGCAGCTGAGGCGGGGCTCCCCCTCGAGGGCCAGCTCGGTGGATCTCCACGTGATCCTCGTCGGCGAAGTTTCCCACGTACACGTCTGCATCAGGCGTCGCCACCACCCACCGTGAGCCGTCCACGTGGCCGCACAGAAGCCTCTCGTGGAACAGACGGTCCTCCAGGCTGTACAGACAGTATAGCTTGTCCCCCTGGCGGACCGTCTTCAGCAGGTCGGGAAGCCCTCGTGGGACCATGGCCATGGAGCCTGCCAACGAGGAAGCCAATGATGAACGCGGCGCGCACAGCTAGGCACAAGACTGAGGCGACCTCCCAGAAGCTCGAGGGACACTCCAAAGGGGCGCTCCGAAGCTGCTCAGGGCCACACCTGTCTAGTTGGCGCTGCAGGACCTGCAGCAGCTCTCTGTCGTGCTCTCCTGTGAAGGTGCACGTGCAGTGGCAATCCCTGCGGAGAGATGTCCAGAGGTTGGCGGCGTACAGGCCAGTCGCAGCCCAATCGCGGACTACTGGGGCGAGTCCGTACGCGAGCCCTGCCATAACAAGCGAAGCTCTGAGCAGAAGCGATGGCTACAGAACGAGTGAAGCGGACGTATGCAATGAACAATACCGTGCACTGCTAAGACGGCCCAAGAGGAAAGAGGTTTCCAAGACGGCCCAAAAGGCCTCCAAGACGGCCTCCAGGAAGGCCCGAAGAGGCCCAAATCATTGATTTCCCTTTGGTTTTGAAGGATTTTGGAATTTGCTTCTTTTCGGGCTTCCGACGGCCCGAGACTGCCCAACAGCCCCAAAAATATCCCAAGAGGCCTCCAGGAAGGCCCCAGAAGGGCTCAAGAGACCCACAAGACGGCCCCAAGAAGGCCCCCAGACGGCCAAGAGGCCTCCACGACGCCCAAGATGGCCTCCAAAACGGCCCTGGAACACCCCAGGAGGATTCCAAGTCGGCCCAAAGAGGCCCCCAAGACGGCTTCCGACGGCGTCAGACCGGCCAGTAATGCCCTCAGGCAGCCAAAGAGGCCCCCGAGAAGCCCACAATGGCACCCAAGAGGCCCAATGACGCCCACAAGATGCCTCCAAGAGGCCCCCAGGAAGCTCACTGGAGGCCCCAAGAGTACCCCCAAAGGCTCACAAGATGCCCCCTCCTCCTCCTTCTCCTCCTCCTCCTCCTCCTCTTCCTCGTCCTCCTCCTCGTCCTCCTCCTCGTCCTCCTCCTCCTCCTCCTCCTCCTCCTCCTCCTCCTCTCTTCCTCCTCCTCCTCCTCCTCCTCCTCCTCCTGATCTTCCCCGCCAGCCTCCCCTGGGGTTTCACAACGGCTGGGGGAACACATGGTCCGATAGCTTGGCAGAGTTCTTGCCACAACGCTCGGCCACATGGGCGATTTCAAAATGCAGGAGGCGGCGGTGATTCACCGTAAGCGTCTTCGATGTAAAAGAATACCCGTACAAGGTCAGCACCAGGGGGTACCCCCGGCCGTAATGCGTTTTATCTGGAAAAACGAACCACAAGTGCGGCCACACCGTTGCCTGCCGTGTGTTGCTCGCCTCCCCCTCGCCCGTGAAAACGCTCGCCCAAGAATGGCTGCCCCAGGTCCTCACCTTCTTGTCGAGCTCCATAACAGGAAGACAATTTGCTGAAACATTCACTCCGCGCGGAGCTCTGAAAAATTATGCTGGCGCTGGTTGTTATTATTTGATTATTCCCGAGCTCCATGGCCTTCTGCCTCAAGGAATCTCAGCGAATATCCAGGAATGTGGCTGCCTCAAGTCCCCCCCGAGCTCAATGGCCCTCTGTCTCGAGTTGCCGAACTGCCGAGCCACCCTGCCGAAAGGCTCGAGCAACTCGTCGTAGTCGTCGTCGTCGTCGTCGTCGTCGTCGTCGTCGTCGTCGTCGTCCTCGCGTCATTGTCGTCGTCGTCATCATCGTCGTCATCGTCGAGCTCCATAGCCCTCTGTCTCGAGTTGCCGAGCTGCTGTACCACCCTGCCGAAGTGGTTCACGAAATTCTGGAGCTTCTCTTCCGCCCGCGGAGGCGTCGAGGCGGCCTGCAAGGAAGCGGACCAAGGGCTCACGCGAAAGAGGGGCCATGAAACCATTCAACTGCACTGTGCCCAACGTTCGAATGATTCCGACATGCGCGCGCGACAACGCGCGAGCTTGGACTTGTCTGACGAAACTATTGGGAACCATGTGGGGATCAGGACAAAAAAACGCGCGCGACCGCAGGTGAATGTTAACTTTCTGTTTTTTGTTGTGATAGGTTGCCGGGAACTTCGATTTTGAAATCCGTATGACGCCCGCGGTTTTTGACGGATGTCGGCATGCGCGCGCGGCTACGCACGCGCTTGGATATGTTTGCGGTTTTGTTGTGGTAATGTATTCATGGGCCGTCACAGTGTTTGAGGTTCGCGCGCATGGTACGACTTGAAAAGGATGGGGGGGGGGTATGGGGACCCCCTAGGATGAAACGAGTGCATCGGTAAATGATGGATGAGACATAATCTTAAGTATGTAACTGTACGTCCCCAGAGAGTACGGATAATTCCAGAAAGGGGTGTTCGAATGTACACCCTGTTGAGAAAATGGAAGCCATACGTGGCGCAATATAGGTGGTCCAATATGTGATGCAAACCACGTGCTGCAACTTATGCGGTGCAATAACCTACGTTGTACAATCAAATTGATTGTTGCAAACGAGTTGACAAATTTCTAGCTCTTGCAAACACCCCACACACCCACTTGCAACTTGGCTTGCAAAGCCCATGCGGTCGTGGCGACGGCAAGGCCAATGACGGCGCCGATGTTGATCACGCCCGCTGATAACGATGACGATGTCCTCGCGTCGGCGATGGAGGAGTTTGAAGGAGTTCGACGTGCGCGCGCGGCCGACGCGCGCGATTGGCCTGCGTTGTATTATTTGCCACGGATCGTGCCCCCCCAGCACGCGCGCAAGGGCGTTCGCATGAATTCGACATGCGGCGCGAGAGGCCCGCTTGGCAGAATGTGATGAACATGTTGGAAAGAGCGTGTTCTACCGCTGCTGGCGGAAAACCGGGGGGGGGTCACTACCGGTTCGAACCCCTCCCCCCCCTTCGGAAAACCGGGGGGGGTCACTACTGGTTCGAACCCCTCCCCCCCCCCAGTCCATCATGAAAAGAGGGGGGGGTCACTACCGGCCCCTGTCCGGTCTCCCCCCCAACGACCTCCCCAGAGCTTCGATTTTGTGCATCACTATCTTCCTCCTTCTTACTCCTCATCCGCCTCGTCGTCGTCCTCCTCTTTCTGATCCTCCTTCCTCCTCCACAATAGGATTCCGATTGCACAGGTTACACTAAGATTTCAATGCCAACGAATCCCACCAGCCCTCTGGGCGTTGGTTGTTTCGAGCGTTTCCTCTTCCACCTCCCTTCTTCCATTTCGGGGAGGGGTGTATCACTGTTCCCTATTAATATACACCCCCTCCCCCAGGCGACTGGGGGCCAACCAGGGTCCATGCCGACACCCCCCCCCACCATCCCTTGTAAAAAACAATACAAAACACACTCTGCCTCCAAATTACGAACGTGCGCAGCCAACCCGATGCGCCCCCCCCACCCCCCCCCCACCCCAACCCACCATCCCTGTCAAAAACATACAGAATGGCTCTTGGCGCGGCTGCGGCGTTTGCTGCGGCGGCCTGCGCGGCGGTGGCGGCGGCTGCGGTCGGTGCGCGGTTCGGGCGGCGGGGGCGGCGGCGGCGGCGGCAGCGGTTGCGGCGGCGGTTCGGCAGCGGGGGGCGGCGGCGGCAGCGGCGGCGGCGGCGGCGGCGGCGGCGGTGGCGGCGACGGATTGGCCCCCAGTAGCTGCCCAGCCAAAGACGACTGGTGAATATGCTGAGCCTCGGGCCAAATTCGGGCGCTACGTATGTGTCGGGAAGGCGGGTGGGAGTGAGCGAGACGGCTTGCGGGCGGGGAAGGGGTGACTTGAACCCTCCCCCTACCCTCTCTCCCTGTGACTGGAACGGAGTCTGAAGTGACTATGGTAAGTCAAATAGCATCCGATTCCATGGGAAGCGGATGGCAAATAGCGTCCGGTGCCGTACTGCGGTGGTTCAGTAAGGGGAATGGACGGATAAGATAGGATAAGATCGATGTAATGATCTTTCCATCACATAGCGAACACAAGCAGTGTTCGGGCAAATAGGGCGCGCGTGCCTTGAGCCAAAGGCAACGGCGCGCGAGCTATACTCCCGATCCTATACAACATCTCCCAATGAGCTACCCTTAAAGTCGGGAGGGGAGGAGACGGTGAATATAGCCGCGCAGCCGTTAGGCTCTACAAAGGCCGCGCGCACGACTGTTTGCAAGAAAGACAGCGCGCACAGTCTGGCCTAACACCAGACTGCAAGGCGAGTTTCCTCGCAAAGCATTTCACGCATACGCGAGATAGCCCCCTGGACATCAAAGGGCGATCGGCCCGGCTAGAGGTAAGCCAAACAGGCTATACTCTCCGAGCAAGAGGGTATTAAAGCACAGAGCCTGAATCAATCTGAACAGGCTCGTTACCAAGCGTGAAAAGTAAGGCTCGTTTCCGAGCAACTAGGAGGGCGCCTCTGTATTATGCGCCCATGCTGGCAAACTGGACCGCGGGGGCAACAAGGACAGACTAAAACTGATTTGACTTAGGCTTGTTTCTGTCCTCAGGACCCCGAAAGGGAACAAACTGCTTCACATCATACTTAAATGACTGAGTGCCTGACATCACCTCCAAAAGCAGCTCCCGATCGATACTCCCCTTTGTATGCCCATCTGCGGTCATGTCTCTAGTATCACACCACTGCACGTTATGCACTATACCTATATCCATAAAAAAAAAAACAAAAAAAAAAAAATAAAACAAAAAAAAAAAACGAAGGAAGAAAAAAAAAACAAAGAAAAAAAGAAAAAGAAGAAAAAGTAGGAAAAAAAAAAACCATAAATAAAAAAAAAAACAAAAAAAAAAAAAAAAAAAAAAAAAAACAAAAAAGAAAAAAAAAACAAAAAAAAAAAAAAGAAAATAAAGAGCTCACAGAGTATCCAACTGATATGTCCCAGCAACGTCCGTTCCGTCGGTATCTTAAGATCTTTGCTGGATAGCGATTTGTATACAGACTCCGCGTCTATGGTAAGGGATACTTTAATAGCTAGGCCTCCAACTTCACGCATATCTCGTAGTTGTCGTGGAGCCAGGGCCCCTGCCTTGAGCTCGTGGAGAGTGATGAGCGTAGGATAACACTCATCAAGGTCGTGTGCAGCTGCAAGTGCCTCAGCGGCATAGCTGGACCTCACCTGCAATCGGTGTGATTTACATAGTCCGTCGCAAAGGTGGATGACGGATTTGCCTCGAGGCGAGTTTCCTCGCCGTAAAACGTTAGCCCCACGTATGCCGTAGCCCTGAGTCTCATCGTCTTCCTCCCCGGTGAGCTTCCGATGCCCCGAATCACTGTGTACATCTACTTCGTTCGTCGGTTTCATCCGAGGGAAGGTGATGCGTTTCGGGCTGCTGATCAGCTTTCGCGTCACAGCATTCAGTCGTCTGACTTGTAAGTTGGTGGGCTCTTGGATCTTCTGGAGAGAGACCACATGCGCCATAAGCCAGACTTGAGTAAGAAGGGCATAGGCGAGAGCTCCTCGCAGGCTAACGAACATGTCGGCGATGAGTTTGGTAGCTTTGGCGTCAGCCGCCGCTCCCGTAAGTTCAGGGTGTGTGATAGGACGTAGTTGTTTAATGTGCTCGTCCTGATCCATGATCACACCCCCTTGTTCATTCTTGGCGTAGCGAACGGCGCAGTTCGTATAATAATGTTTGTTGAGCTTGCATTTACCAAACACTTTTTCGACACGTTGTACATAGTCATCTACGTTTTTTTCTCGAGGCCCGTCATGTTGATATCGTCGACGTGTTTTGCCGTTGACAGATCTTGACTGAATTCAAACTCAGGACCGTAGCTGGTCGGTGTGAGGCCTATAGCTCGTGTGGTCGTACGAAGCTTAAGGGGGAACGCTCTTGGGGCGCCCTTTGTGCCCGTCCCTGGCTTGAGGCACCTGAGGCAGTGTCGGCTTTCATCGTAAGAAGAGAAGCCTGGTAGTGTACGAAGCACCTGGGCGCTTCCTGGTGGAAGAGTGAAGCAAACCATGCGAGTTTCCTCGCCGGTGGCATGAGCAAGTTCCTCATATGTCAGACCTTTGAGGAACGCGTTGTCGATATCCATAGATGTTAAGATCCATTCTGGATGACATGTCGCCTCACTTGCCAGGAGCCTCTGGGACTGTCTTCGAGCAGTTCCTGACAAGGTTTCTACATCAAACGCCTTCGTGTCCATGAATCCACGAAGGATAAGTCTGAGACGGATGGTTTTAACATTCTCGGTGCTTACCTTCACAATCTTCCACTTGTATACATGTCTGGATGTCATGATGTTGGAAGCTTTAGATAGGTCATACATCTCGATGCACCGGTTATCAAGCCAGATCTTGAGTTCGGTGTACACAGCTTCACTAACCTCTTTAGGGTGTGCTGCTATATCGGCTTTGGTGAGTAGGTCGTCTTCCTTGACTACCACAGCACGTTTAGCAGCCGATGATACCTATACTCTCATCGTTGCGACCATGTCAGTTTCAAGCTGTGCAGGTTGGGTCTGACCCAACACTACCTTTGACATTTCTGGTGCGAAACATAACTCAACATAAGGACCATGTTCATCACTGTCAAGAGAATAGCCCTCGTCAGGTGTAGTCGAGCATAGAGAGATAAGACAGGGCTCTTGTGGTTCAGGCTCGTCTCCGAGCGTTTCCGACACTATGATATCTTCCTCGTCCACGGATGCTGAGACCAGAACACCTTGGTCGGGCAGCATGGTTGTTGGGACGCAGTAGAGATGATCGTCGGTAACCGTTGTGGGATGAAGGTCCATACGTAGTTCGTCGTACCACTCCTCCATCATCATAGCCTCGATGTCATGTTCCTCGTTTTCTTCGTAGATTGTAGACAGGCGACCTTCACTTGGTGATGAAGCACCTGGGGTGTC